TATATATGTAGAGATACTCCCTTAATATTTTAAGATTGAATTTGAAATTGTAAGAATTATTCGTATGCTGCACGTCAACGTAAATTCCTTGTTCTTTGTTTCTTGTTCTTACAAAAGTAAAAATAAATAAACAAGCATTATCTGTTTTTAATTAAAAATTAAAATAAAATTTATTTTAAATATACAAAATTAAAATTTAAAATTTGAATTGTCTTCCAAACAACGTTAATTATAATCAAATTTAACTAATTATAAAAACTCTTTAGCCATATAAATTTACTATACCCTTATTTAGAGAAACATCCATCCACATGAGTTTTGCCTAATGGCTTGCTTTAATAAAATTCGGTTTATCGGCTGTCTTGTCTTTATTGGCCGTGTGGATTTTTGGGCCTCTTTGTTTAATTTAAGTGATTAATGGCTGGCCGTATAGATTTTCTTTGTTCGTAAATTATCAAGGGATATTAGTAAAACTAAAGATCACCTTTGATTATATATTTGATCCCTCATCCCCCAAGACCCAACGGTTGGATACGTGGATATATAATCGGGAGGATTCTCGGTCCCTTTTTTTTTTTAATTGATTTTCAGTTGTTGTCCATTACTTTATTCGCAAAATCAACGACGAAAGGTTATTTTAGAATAAATTTCTAGTTTCCACAACCATTGTTGAACCCCCATCGATCAAGTGCATGCACCACATGCCATGTCTTTTTCCAATGTTAATTTGCTACGAAGCATTTCCGGCGCTATTGCTAGCTGGCTAACCCAGTTGAACCCTTTCAACCCTTTCTTGACCCACCGGAATTCAACTCTCCGATTGCCCAGTCCCACCATCTTAATAATTTTTATGTAACCCTACCCTCACAAATTAATAAAAAAGTGCACCCCAATCTTGCGAAAATGCTCCCAATAGTCCCTTCCTGTCAAAATGCTGTCCTATTATTATCGGGATAAAGTGTTTCCCGCTGATCTCTGTTAGCGATCAGCTGACGGTGGAATGGAAAATGCCCGAACTTCATCCAACAGTGACTGACAGAATGGTGAAAACATCCAGAGCGGAAAGGCGCGGGGTCGGTGTTTAATTTGCACTGTGTTTGAAAATATTTAACAGGGGATTGTTTATTTAAATAAGAAAAAGAGACAAATAGTACACAGAAAACAATGGAAACATAAACCATGTATTTATGTGCATATTTCACATGAGTTGCTCTTTAAAAAAGTGGAAACCCTGACTTCTTTTTTAGGTTAAAACAAATTTTACCTTGTTATTTTTTTTAAAACAAAAAGACAGCCCCTTCAGAATAAAAAAATTTTAAAATTTAAAATTAAAATTTTTCATATAATCTTTTAAATATAATTATATAAATTAATTGAATTAAAATTTTAAATTCATTTCACTCTCTAATGTTTAACCAAGTTATTATTTTCCAATCTAATAAAAACTATTATTTAAATAGATAATTCTCTCCGTTATTTTTTTTTACTTTCAATCTCAAAATAAAAAATATATAAAAATATAAATATTAAAATTTAAAATTTTAATTATATTACTTCTTAAAAATAATTACGTAAATAAACAAAATTCAACTCAAAATTCTATACTCTATTGGACTTAGTTTAGATAATAAAACATTAATTGCGCAACGTGAGAAGGGCGAGATCTGCATCCGCGGAATGCCGGCAAGATTCAAAGTATTTCTGCGAACAATGAGGTAGCATCCTTTGACAAAATTAGTCAACCCAACCACCCACACAGCTAAATAATAGCCGTCACGCAAATCAATCCCATTCGTTTTCCCCCGGTAAACAAACACTGTTGTCAGCTTTGGACTTTGAATCTTCTTCATCTTTTCTCCTTTACTACTAGTTTTGGTTGAGGTGGCTTGGTTTAGCTCTAGTCAGATGACCGACCACTGCGATGTAGGCTTGATTGGAAGTCCAATGAAGCAATAGTGGGCCAATCTTATGACTGACAAACCCCAATAACTAGCCCAAAATCGACTAAACGCTCAAGCTAAGGTTCATAATTCTACGGCTAGTCAGGCTGCTAAAAAGTGAGCAGCTTAGCTTTAGAAGAAAATTGATTACTAGAAAATAAAAATCTCCTGGTTCCCCCTTTTGCTTTGTAAAAATCTCAATGATTTGAAGAAAATCAAAGATAACCTGTACTGATTGGCTGAGAGGGTGAGTTAAAGTTTTGAATGTCTGCTTCTACCTCATGAACCAATAAGAAGCAGACCCTGTATAAGAGAAACCTTCATACCTTACCATTTCATCAAGTAAACTCAATCAGGAATTGTTGCATCTACTTGCTCTTATCCCTAGGGCATTTTACATGACAACCATTGCTCTTTCTTCACCATTGACTGGCAAAGCTTAAGTTCAATAACTTTACTCTCTGTTAACCGCAAGCAACAACTTTATAAGTTAACGCATTATCGGGTAAGCCACAAATGATCCCATGTACGCTAATGCCTTCAAAGACTTGAAAAGATTTTATCATATTTGCTGATTATAGATCATAAAGGAGAACTTGAGAACCGGAACCTGATTTAAACAGAGGTCGATATTTTAGAATTTAAAAAAAAAAAAAAAAAGTGGGCGGGAGGTGATGTTTGAGGGAAGAAAAGTATTACTGGCAAGGAGATAAGTAAGGGAAGAGAGGTGAAGGAGAAGGTGAAGAAAACAGAAAGTTGATATTTCTCCGAGCTTTTGGCTGTTTTGTATATTCCACTGGCTTTGTTTCAGCTGCGAGTCCTCCATGGTTGAGAACTTGGAAGTGGAACTCGAAGCAGGTTGAAGTTGCCAAGGTTTAGTCTGCTGAACGATTTCGTGGGCTTTAAGAAAGCGGTAGACTTGCCAATTGTGAAGGGATAGCCCAATCGAGAAAGAACGAAGAACATAAAAATAATGGACTGCGGTGAGCGTGGATCGAACACGCGACCTTCAGATCTTCAGTCTGACGCTCTCCCAACTGAGCTATCCCCGCCAGTTGATCTATTTCATCCATATATTATTATTGTAAACTTACAGTAATTGAGTTTACGCTTCAGCTATTTTTCGCTCTCTGCTATAAAGCATCGTCTTCTTCCAGTTTTAACCGTTGCGTATAAATGTTGATAAAGTCCTTTCTTCGTTCCCCGTCTTTAACAAGATTCGACTTGACTCTACTGCATTGCCATGGGAAAGATCCCGTCTTTAAGGGACGAGTTCACATTCGGTTTGCTTCAATAAACCCCCTTCCTATCTTCTTCTTCAAAACAAAATTTTTTTTTTCTTTCTTAATTTAATTTATTCTTTCTTCTAAATTGAATCGTAGACCAAAGGCTCGAAGAATCCCGCGATATCATTGCCAAATATCCCAATCGGGTCCCTGTGAGTTTTCCGATTCATTTTCCTTTGACTTTACTTTTGGTCAAACTTTTTCCTCCGTTTTTTCATTTTTGTTTCCATGTAAATATCATTCATAGTTTGTGTTTCCAAAATTCTGCCTTTATGGTTTTGCCGGGAAGTTAATTTTTTTAGAAGATATGATCAATTTTCAATTTTTAATCTGTTGGGTTTATTATTTATTTGTTGATTAATTTTCTACCTATCCATGGATATGGCTTATGGTTATGCTAAAAACAGTGATTTGACCCTTTTCTTCTCATTTTGCAGGTCATTGTGGAAAGATACTCAAAAGCAGATTTTCCCAAGATGGAAAAGAAAAAATAAGTTTCAGCCATGGCCAACAACAATTTGTTCTTATCAACTCTGAGAAAGACTACTAATGATGGATTGATGGGTGCTCTATTTTCTTAACTTTGTGTAATTATCAAGATTTTGGCATGTTGAATTGTGTAGATGAAAAGATCCAAAGTGGGAAACCCAGTTCTATAATTGCTAAACATTGGTAGTAATATTATTCTCATTTTATCACTCAGCATTCCTACACTTGAACTTCAGTCTTTAGTAGATGTCAAAACTTTTGAGTTTCTTGTTAAAAGATGAGCGGGCAGAATAAATTTGTTCCACATTGTTTCAATTATAGGTATCTGGTTCCTCGGAACATGTCTGTTGGACAATTCAGACACATCTTAAGCTTGAGGCTTCGTCTGACCCCAGGAAAAGCGCTCTTTGTGTTTGTAAAGAACACTTTACCTCAAACAAGTAAGCCATGATAATGTTTTATGTCATACTTCTTTTATATGATTCTGTTGTGTCGAACGAACCCTTATCTATGACCTGTGTTTGCAGCTACTCTTATGGATCCTGTATATGAATATTTCAAAGAGGATGATGGATTTCTGTATATGTGTTACAGCAGCGAGAAAACCTTCGGTTTTGCGACTAATCATATTTTTCAACCGTAAGCTTTGTGCATAACTGTAAAATCCATTGGTTCCCCCCCTTTCTCCCAATGATGGATCTTGAATGATGAAACTCAGCCTGGTATTTTGGTGTTGTAGAATCTGTCAACCATATCATTCATTCTGTAAGTCCTTATGACATACGAGTCATTCTACAAGTTAATGCTATCAATATCTATGGACTGGCATGCAAATATGTAATCGTGATGCAAATATGCAAATATCCATCCATTGCTTGCAAATGGTTAACTATGGGAAATCTTACATCCCCTTTCTGTGTTCTCATTTTGACCACTCAACCCGGTTTCTATGATGCTGGATTTGTCTAGAAAGCTAAGGTCGTCTAATGGTAAAGGAGGGGATGTTACAATTGCTACATAAAACGTACTGGCTTAGTGGTATTGATATAAAATACTATGTTATGCGGTAAGGTATCTTCATGAGGGTTCTGCATAAAACATTAAAACTTGACAAAAACAATCACATTCTTCTCACATCAGTTTGATTTCGATTTTCAGTTCGAAAGTTTTGTTAGCGGAATTTGACATCGATCCAAACAAAGCCAAATTTAAGTCGCCTTTAATCTAAATACTTATTTTATTGTATCAATGTTAAATTATTTTCTTATAAAAATTCAAAATAAGTGAGAGCAAAGAAAAGAAACCCACAATCTTCAAACCAAGAACCTTCAAAAGCATGTATGAAGACAAACCCACAATCTTCAACTCTGCAAAAGGTTTTTTTTATCGCTCAGTGAAAACACACTTAAAAGAACAATATCCAAACTCCAGATCGGTCCTTCTCACCTCTAAATCACCATGTTGGACAAAATTATCATCCACAGTGGCTAAGTAATAAAAGCCAACACAACTAGGATAGTTTCTGTAACTCCCTAAAAACCCAGGCCATTAATGCAATCTTCTCCATCTATAGCCACCACTTCTGTTAACATCATAGCACTCAAATCACCTTTGAAAATGCTTCTAGGTCATTTCCAAGAAAGATGTGACCTCCCTGGCGGCAAACACCATCTTCCAGCAAGGTTTTGGCTTATCACCTATAAAAAGAGTTTCCGACTTCCTCCTTTCTTCCAATCGCCCCGTACAGTCAATCCGTCAGTAGAGTTTTGGCCGCCATCAAAAGCGTTATCTAATGGTTTAGGATCAGGTTCTGGCTCAGAATTTTCTAGATCCAATAGTGCTGCCATTGAACCATCACCAAGCCGCACCCGGTGAAACTTTGAAGTTTTCTTTCGTTGCTTGCTACCACCCCCCCCATCCCCGGATTTAGCAGATAAGGAATCATTTTGGCCCCCAATTTTTATTGAGGGCTGATTGTTAGAATTCAGTTCCACTTGCTGTTCATCGCCCATCACCTTTGATTTGCCTTTGGCAGGACGGTAGCCATCCTTTGATAGCACCTTTGCCTGTTCTCCAGAAGGCTTATAACTTGACTGTAATTTGTGGACACTGCTCATAATACTATCAGCCAGTGTATCCTTTGAATTACTGACCGCAGCATCCAGAGACTTCCCTTTCCCTTTCTTAGAGGCATTATTATCCTTCAACCAGACACCAACTTGAGCCCCACCATTCTCTTGCAAACCATTGCTTTGAAAACTAGCATTGTAGGTGTCAATTAGTTCTTTCTGCTTCCGAGCATCAGGGCAGAGTCTAGCCAGCTCAAGAACTAGATGTGACAAGCCATACTGTTGTACATAATCCAAATATCTGTCTGTTCCAATTAAGCCCTGACGATACTGTCCGGATATTTCTTTAAAAGCAGTGTACTTTTCTTCATCATATTCAAGAACAGCTCGCATCTTTTCCACCAAAGATATGTTGGCTGTATGAACATCTTCCACGTTCCTCAGAACCTGGCTGCTTGAGGACTGCTTGTGCCTTTGTGCTGCTGAAACTGGAGGAAACTCAGAGACAGATGGTTCTGAGTATCCACCATCAGCAAGATTTGGAGCTGATGAAGAATGGCTAATCCTACTTGTGTTGCCTGAGCTCATTCGAGAACCAGATGATATTAATATATCTGCTGTTATTGGTCGTGCCTGAACCTGCGCCTGAGCCTGTGCATTAGTTGAACTTGAATAGCTCAACTGTGAAACTCTGTTACCACTATCAAGTGATGTTACAGTGGCAATATTTGTTGCTGGTCTAAACTGACTTGAACTACTTGATGTTTGCATGGGCCTGCGACTTGTTGCTGGCCATGCCTGAGCTGAACTCAAAATATTTTTATTCCCAACCTTCTGGCGCCGTAGATGTGCTGCCATGGTGTTATTAGGCAAACCTTCAGAGCTATGTTTAGAATTTTGTTGAATGTTGCTGGGAGCCATGGGGAGAGGAGGAAAAGATTCTTGAAAAGGTGCACCCCTTGAGCCTCCCCCCAATGCTTGAAGATATCTTGAAGATGATTCAAAATCTGTTGTCGATAATAATTCAAAAGGCTGAACTAGTGGATCAATATCATTTGTGTCTCCATGATCAGAGCCCACCTGTGCAATGGATGATGCTGGTGGATCACTGGCTGTCCCCAAACTTGCCTCAATGGCCATTGAAAGTTCATCAGATGGCTCACACCAAAACATTCGTCCTGTTCCACGACGATTACCTTCATTACTTCGACTATACCGAAAGCTAGTTGGTATCTGCAAAAAAGTACAATTAATTAACAAAACAACAAGTAACCAACTCATCTACAAATGGATATATATCAGTGAATGAATTGGGAAAATTACAACTTATGTGGAGTCTATTAATTAGAAGGATGATACATACTTGCAAAGCAGCATTACGCTGTGCTCGAGACATGCGACCTCCATGTTCAATGGTATTATGCCTCTGAAAGGATAAAAGTGAAAATATAAGAACTTTACATGAGAAAAGGAAAAGTTTAGCTATACAAAGGAAATACTCAAATAATCAAAAAGAAAAACCAAAATTTATATGCCCCGAGAAGTCACCTTTAGTTCAGCTTCAGACTGAAAGACAATAAACTTTTTGGCAAGGCAAGCTTCATCCTCACATAGGTAATGATCTCGGCGAAAATGAATCTGTGGTAGACAATTTTCAAAGTCCCATTTAACTTTACAAGGAAACAAAAAGAAATAAATCAGTCATCTTGCCTCAAGGTCGTCATAATTCTTGTAATATTCATATTGTCCAGGATGCTGTCTGCATTGAGCATTGAACATTGAACATGCAAAAATAAGTCCACTTGTTTTAAATTGTATCCTAAAAATCAGTACCAGGAATAGCCCCAGTACCTTTGGCATATATGACATGTATAGTGCTCTGTGGACATGTGTGAGTATAATTCATTATCCCCATAGAATGGATTCTTGCAGAATTCACACATTGGATGTCCCATGAAGCCACCTCTCTCACTTTCAGATCCATCCACCTCAGAGTCACCTGTGTGTATATGTTGATTTAACTGCACTCTAGTATATAGCTTTTGTTCACAAATAAACACCTACATCGTCCAAAGGAAACCAGTGAGATAATCAATGCATACACACAGCTTTTGTTGATGGACAAACAACCGATTCATCAAAAAGGAACAAAGCTACACAATGGTCATATTTTCATTAGAACTGTTAAATATAATGTCAAACATATTAACCCTACCTTCCGTCCTTCCAAACACAGTTTGCACATAACCAGTCTATGTCTATGAAACAAATGACCTTTCAACTGTTCAATGTTCCTAAACTTCCCCCGCCGCTTCACTCCATCGTTGGACTGATCTTCCATCTTGTCACATACACTACATGAAAGCCTGCACATTGCCTTGATCATCCTGTAGTGATCAACATCATCGAAAAATGCTTGCGTATCCTCGTGATACCAATACGAACCCACCCGTCCTTCTCTTACTTCAGATGGCAACACAGAGAAGTCATTGATCATCCTCGTGTAATCCCCTAAAGCCTGGAACAAAACCAGAACCACAAAGACTTATTATGTCTAAAATATTTTATAAACAAAAAAAAAAAAAAGTAAAATGCGGACTCCAACTTGGCTTTGATTTAGTGATCATCATCATCTAATAAAGATTCCAAAGAATTAGCTAATTAAATCAGACAAAAGCAATATCGAACGTTATAATTAGGATAATTTCAATTCGAAATTGAGATTGGTGACAAAACAGAAAGAGGGAAGCCCTAACCTTAGTGACGAAGATGACGTTGGACTCAGTCTTGCAGATGCAGCAGCGACGATCGTTGCAGATGAAGCGGAGACGAGCGACGCACGTGGAGCACACGTCCCGGTGACCACACGCGCCGTAGGCAACCCATTCCAAATTGTCAGCACAAACCGCACAGCTGTCGTCCATCTCCGTTTCTTGATAATATTCTCGGAAAACCTTATCGCTCAACAGATCGATTGGAAATTGATGCTGTGGAGAAAATAATAAAAATAAATAATCTAGGGTTTATTTTTGCGCAGACAAGTAATTCAGATTCATAATAATAATATTACATATATGGTGGTTTTGTTGAGAAAAAAAAAAACACAATTAGTCAATGACGTGAGACTTGGACGGCGAGAGACGGCGCACGGAATTTGGAAATTACCTTCCGGGAATTTGGAAATTAGGTGAGAAATTACTGGTGACCAGTTTCCAGCCAAAAGTTTAAGAGAGAAACTTTATATATTGAAATAAAAGGTTCTGGCAACGAAGAGCACTATATATATTGGTTTTTTTTTTTTTTAAATAGCAGTGTCAATTGATAAAAAAAATATATACATATCCAAATTAGGAGTCAAGTTACTTGCAGTTCAAGAAAGATTATGGTAGTAATGGTATTTTGGTGAAGAAACGTGAAAAGCGTGAAAAGCGAAAGGAGAAAGGGACATTGGAATTTTAATTTATATCTGTTATTAACTTAATATTTCAAGTCTTACGCTCTTAAACTTTAATATTTATTTTGGTCATAAGAAGGAGGTCAATGATCATGCACATGTCAGTTCGGGCACTAATATGAAGGAGATAATTCCTTCATTTGCTTATAATTTCCATGATTTTTATTTTTTTTTTTTTTTGTTTTACAACAATTAACTTTGCAAGTTTTCTTTGATGGCCAAATTGAAGAGATATGATACGAATTTTGAGTTCCTTTTATATGGTAAAGAAATTAGATTTATTTAAAGATTAAATTATTTTAAACTCAAAATTCGTCTAAAACCTGATAATATTTAGAAAAAAAATAAAATTTATTAAACTAATTTGACATAATTTTTGACCTATTTAAATTTCGAGTCAAGTTTTAAACAAAAAATTTAAAAATTGAGTTTAGTATGATCCAATTCAAATTCATATACATACAAATTTTTTATTTTTATATATTATATATAAATTAATTCACATATATAAATTAAAAATAAAAATTATATATATTTATTAAACTTGATTTTTTTATATAGTTTGTATTTGTAATTTTTACATATATAATTTTTATTTTTAATTTATAAATATAATTTCATTAAATTTAATTTAATCATATTTTTAAAATTTTTTATTATATAAATTAAGTTTAATGAATGAATTTAATATTTTTTTAATTAATTTAACCGAACTTAAACAAATTTTAAAACCTAAGATTTCAAGCCAACTAAGCCTTAATAAATATATAAATTATTAATACTAAATATAATTTTAATTTGAATCCAATCTGATTCGACTCATAAACACCTGAATATAAAACATATGTATATTTAAGTTTTATATATTTACTCCTTGACAAATTTTATATTTAAATAAAACTTTGTCTATTTTTAGAACATGTTTAATTGTTTTTAATCCTTTAATAATAATAGTATTATTATTGGCTTCATGACTTTTGTCCAATTTATTATAGATATTGCTAATAATAAAATAAATAAAAGGTGTAAACGTATAAATAAATTTTATATTTTATTATATTCATAATTTATTTATTTGATTAATGAATATTGAAATATTATTTGTCATTATTTGTTAAGTTTAATAAATAATAAATAAAAATCAAGCTTATTATATAAATTATTTGTCAAAAACTTTGTTTATTTAACATTTTTGGATGTAAAATAAATCAATCATGAATAAATTTTTTTATGTTCGTAGTTTATTCATTTAATTATAAAATATTATTTATAATCATTTTTTAAATTTAAAAATAATAAATCATATTAAATTTATGGATAAATTATTTATCAAACATTTTATTTATTTACACTTAAAAAAAAAAAAAAAGCACAACTTAGCATAAATAAAAGCATAAAATGATTGACAATATCAGAAGCAACATTTATTTATCCTCGAATGATTATTTTTCTATTTAGAAACTAAAAAATAAGCAATGAGGAAGTCTAATCAAAATCACAAGTAATCCATAATGTTTTAAGTTTTTCAATAAATTATGTATTTGGTTATAGGTTTTTTGTATTTTTATCGACAAAAACTCTACAATAATTTATTTATTTGTGAGCTGTGAATTTATAGTAGGTTTTTTGGCTTTGCTTTTAGGTTGAGTCTTTTTAATTTAGACTTTAAAGTTTAAATTTAAGTGTACCAAATAAAAAAATATTTTAGATCTAAAAGTCTCGAAAAAATCCTTATGAAAAATGAAGAGAGGATTCAAAATTTATTTTGTTTAGATATATTTATTATTAAATATAAAATACCATAATATTTAAAATATAATAAAGACTAAACTAAAAAATTAAAAAATATATTTTTTATTTGGCACACCAAGCTTCCTACCTTAAAGCCAAATAAAAAATATAATAGTCATATAGACAATATAATAAAGCCTAAACTAAAAGAGCAAAAAAATATAATAAACTCAAATAGAAAATATAATAATATCTACAGTAAAAAAGTGAAAAAAATATGATTGTTTAATTATATAAATTAAATATAATGAAATAATTATTATTTAAAAAAGTATTTCTTAAAAAGGATTTTTTTGAAAAGTTAAAAGTTTCAAAATTTTAAAATATTTTCTCAAATAAAAAAAATTATGAATTCTTGTGAAAAGTGTTTAAAGGATTTAAAATTTATTTTTGTTTGGATATTAAATATAAAATACTAAAATATTAAAAATATAATAAAACCTAAACTTTCACAAAATAGCACAAAAAACCAAAAACAAAAATGTAATAGTAGCATATTAAAATTTTTAATTTTAATATATTTATAATATTTAACATGTCGATTAAAAATTGTATTATTATTTTTAAATTAAAAACAGTTACGTATTTTAAAAATAATTGACCCCTACGAAGTGGGGCCGAATTTTAGTGGTTCAAAAACTTCATCACAAAGTTTGATCACTGCCGCCTTTCCCGTGCACAAGCGCCCTATATTCACCTCGCCCGGAGAGTGCCACGTTGGAGTCCAGGGCATTGTATCAATCCAAAGGCCTTCAGAACTTACGCATCTCGCCATTAAATTCACCGTTAACGGCGTCAAGTATATATAGAATTTTATATCCAGACCGTCCGGAACGGAACACGAGGGACTTCCCAGAGGGAGAGCAGGACGGGAAGGAGTTATTCCCTGTATCTTCTCTCGTAAGCATCTTCACATGGCAAGGGATCTCTTCATGATCATCGTTGAGATCTGAAGGGTCAAATGTGATTCTTGCGATCTGGACCATTGCTTTAACTGTCTCAAATATTGGGCCCAGGGATGTGTAAATCACGTGTTTGTCACTTGGGCTCCGCGAGTTATTAAATGTTGTACGGGCGTAGATCAAAGTCCAATGTTTTGACCCGTCCGATTTGACGATAACGCCAACGTTTTCATCCAAAGCGGGGGATTCAAGGCTAGGAGATCACCATTGGGAGAGAAGAAAGGGAAGGATCCGTCGGGTCGCAGCATACATAGTTCTTTGATTGGAGACATAACTGGCTCGAGATGTGGAACCGTGGACTCGCCCTGAGTCGACTCACCTCTGAACCTGTGGTATCCGAGTCGCAACTGCGATTCTTTTTGTCATGGAAGGCGGCCGGAGTGCAGCAGTGGAGACCAGGCGGAATGATATGGCAAGGGACAACTGGGAACCCAAAAAATTCAAGAGGATTTTCTGGAAATTCGAGACGTAAAATGCTCCACAAGCTATCGTCAAATTGGCAGTGAAAGAAAATGGTGGAATCACCGAACCAAGTGGGCCAGCCGCCAGTCTCACAAACAACAAAACGGTTATTCGGGTCGGATGCTGAAAAAACAACTATATCTGTTTTGAGCTCGTGAAAATCACCTTCCCAAGAACGAGAACCGTCCGATGCAACGGCTACAAGTTTTCCAGATTTTGAAATAGCAGGACTATAGTCAACAACCCCGTTAGGAGAAAATCGTATAATGCCTCTTTTACCCTGGAGCTCGGTTGAGTAAAGGGCGGACCAACTCTTGAAAGGTTGATAAGGCTTTTCATGAGCAGAAATGAACTAAAGGCGGTGATTTTTTATGATGGGTGAATCGTGGAAGAGGCTGTTGGGGGCAGATGGAAGCTGCTCAGGCTTGGATAGGGCTGGGTGGGTGAGGTAAATCCGGGGGGATCCTGATCTTTCAGAGATAAAGACAATGGATTGATCTTCGTTTGCAAATTTAGCGTTGACGTTGATGAAAATACCGTCAGTGAGGCAGTGTTCAGAGGTGGCAGTGCTGATGGGAGTTTGGTTCAGATTGACGGTGAAGATGTCGAAGCCGTACTGTAGCCTTCCGACGGAGATGAAAATGATGGTGCCTTTAGGGTCCATTGTACTACGAGTGGAAGGCGTGGGAGTGGGAGTGAAAGTGTCTCAAAACCTGAATTATTTGCATTAAGAAGCATCCGCGACCAAAAGTAAAGTGGGTGATAGAGGCAAGATGATTGAAAGGTGGTTCGCACAGGAAAGAGGTTTTTTTTTTTTTTTGCCCATTCACAGGAAAGAGGGTGGTCAATTGTTATTCTAAAACAAAAAAGTTTACTCGTTTGACTTTGAGCTGACGTAGCATTGTTTATCCGCCTGGCCTCGTGATTTTGCATGTCCAGAAGTAATTCGTAAGATAATGTGTTAAACGTCAGGAGATCACGTCGGCTGTTTATCTGAGCTTAAATTAGACTGATCCGAATAAGATCATCAATATTGAGGTTATCGTTCACAAATTCTTACCAATTGGATTTTCCATTATCTTTTGACTTTATGTTTTAACAAAAAGAGTATGTCAAGATTTCATATAAATGTAGGAAAGAATTTGCAGCGGTAGTTTTTACATTTATTTTAAAAGAACTACAGATATCTTGTTTCAGTTAACAAATCCAATACTTCTTGATATTTTTATTTTAAAAAAAAATAAAAAATAACGTGAGGGGATGTAGCTCAAATGGTAGAGCGCTCGCTTTGCATGCGAGAGGTACGGGGTTCGATCCCCCGCATCTCCATTTCACAGATTTTTCAACCGATTCTGGAGAAACGCTTGATGGAACGCATTAACAAGCTGAGTTTCTAGTTCATGTTCTTTGACCCACATCAAGCTTCTATGTCAATAGCTTTCATTTTCATTGCAACGGCCTCAACTCCGTTCGCATCGCCAATGCATTCTTCATTTTCACTACTTTTTTTAGATATATTATAAATAAAATCACAAGTTTATAAATAATTTTCTTAATTGTATATAAAGTAAAAAGTTAAGATTTAAGAATTAAAAATACCCATCATTAAAAAAAAAAAAAGAAAAACTAAGCTTACGAAGTCTTTTTTTTTTTACTTTTATTTTTTAAAATGTTTTTTAATTTTAAATTTTTTAGTAAAAGATAAAAATCAATAATTAAAATGCAAAAATTAAATTAAATATGATATTAAAATTGACAGATTACAAAATTTTCATAAATTTAACGAATCAATTCAAAATTTTTCAGATCATTAGTATAAACAATCCAAACATAAAATCGACGGATCGAGGGTTAAGTCACCGGGTCGATTTGCTCCGTCAAACTGCCGGCTTAGTTCGTATTTAATGACTATGAAAAGCAAAACATATATGCAGCTGTTTTAGTGCCAGCCAAAAGAAATCATACTCGAGTACCAGAGCTCTGTTTCAACTGTATGTTGCAACTTGCAATTTGAATATAGAAACTAAAAAGACTAGTTCAGAGTTCAAAAACAATATCAAGGATATGGACCCGAATAGGACTGTGGAGGTATATTAAACATTTAAGCCCTGTCTTTTTTTTTTTTTTTGGTAATACTTTCATGTCATTATGTTTTAAATTGTCCTATCTACCTGGAAGGGAGGGTCAGGGAAAAAGAGATGAGAGCTTGCTGATATGCAAGTGTTCTGCAAAAGAAACAGCTGGTGCTGGGGCAGAATTGTTCAAAAGACGAAAACGTCAGCCTGAAGCTAAGCTCTCAAGCTTACAGCTACACACGTTTTGGGTTCCCAAAGTAGTACCAACTCTACCTTCTTTACTTGTATCTTCACCTATAAATACTCCCACTGGATTCGCTAGTTCTTCCATCCCCACTTTCATAATCTTTGAACTGCATAAAGCTAGCACGATCATTCTCCTCTGCCTTTCGCTTATTCTAATTTGCTTCCAAAGAAACTAATTCCTCATTTATAAGTTTTTCTTCTCCCACCTGCCACAATGAATTTTTTGTGCTCAAAGTTACATATCATTGTCCTGGTCTCATTTATGTTTTCATATTCACTGTTGTCCACAATGGCATCTGCATCAGCAGCATCTTTGAAGGTGGGCTTCTATAAAGGAAGTTGTCAATCTGCAGAGACAATTGTGAGAAAAGTTGTAAACAAAGCTGTGTCACGAAATGATGGTATAGGTGCTGGACTTATCAGAATGTATTTCCATGACTGCTTTGTCAGGGTACTTTCATTTTCAACAATCTCTAATAATTTGTACTCTCTATATGGATTATATTTCTTCCTCCTCTAACTGAATGTAATTTTTTTTTTTTTGTAATTCAGGGTTGTGATGCTTCTCTGCTTCTAAAATCCACACCTGGAAACCCAGCAGAGAGGGACCATCCCGCAAACAATCCAAGTGCACGAGGTTTCGAGGTCATTGATGAAGCCAAAACCCAAATCGAGGCACTATGTCCAGGGACAGTGTCTTGTGCAGACATTCTTGCTTTTGCTGCGCGGGACAGCACCTATAAAACCGGAGGAATATACTACGCCGTTCCCGCTGGACGCCGGGATGGCCGTGTCTCTATTTTTGATGAAGTGGCACAAAATCTTCCCCCTCCATTCTTCAATGCAGAACAAATTGCTCAAAATTTCGCAAGGAAAGGAATGTCACTTGATGAGATGGTGACATTATCAGGGGCACACTCCATTGGTGTCTCACGTTGCTCTTCGTTCTCCAACCGCCTCTACTCTTTCAATGCCACTCATGCCCAAGATCCCTCTCTGGATCCTAACTACGCAGCTTTTCTGAAAACAAAATGCCCACCACCAACTACTCCTGGTGCTGGTAGAGAACCATTACTGGCACTTGACACTGTGACGCCCAATCGCCTGGATAACAAGTACTACAGTGAACTGAGGCGTCGTCGTGGTTTACTAACCTCTGACCAGACATTGATGGACAGCTCTTTGACCTCGAGAATGGTCTTGAACAATGAGAGGAATGGTGCATCGTGGGCTAGAAAGTTTGCTAAGGCAATGGTGCACATGGGTTCCCTTGATGTTCTCACAGGATCACAAGGTGAAATAAGGAGAATTTGCAGTGTGGTGAATTGATATCACTCAAAATTAGTGGAGTATATTTGTGTGTCTTGTTTAGTTTCATTTTTATTTCCCATACTCGCTCTTTTTTTCATACACGAAATTAATATTTGCATTCTTTCATGCATTTATTAATTGTTATTGCTAATCTAAAGTATAAATCATTTTCAATTACTTGTGAGATTCTATTTTTCTGTAATATGTGATGTGATGTAACATGTTTCTTATTTTCTTCCAATAAAATCAAGGAATGTTCCTTGCTTATTCTCTTTTCTAATGCCACAATTTTTACATGTTAAAGATGCATGATTAATGCACGGTACTATTACTAAATCATTAGTAGTATTTCTATGTAATTTGATAATTAAGTTCAATCCTTCTTAATTTTTTTATGATATAATATAAATGATTAGGGTCATATATATATATATATATATATATATATATATATATATATATATACAAAGAGAAAAGAAGATGACAAGTTTAAAACTCATGCCCACATGTCTTTCTTAAAGCTTCTTAATCACTAAATCAAAAAATGAAAGACAATCAGATTCATATATAATTTTTGTAAACTCATATTATAAACAGGGAATAAATAAACAAATTTGAAAAAAAATATTTTTTTAATATCTCAAAAAGTATATAAATATATATATTCATTTGAATATTATTTCTAAAAGGTTTTTTGAACATCTATACATACATATATATATATTGTACATGAATACTCTAAAAAAATTCTAAACCCATGACTACTCGATTTCTTCGCTTACGACTCTGCTTGCTGACCAAGCTAGACTCAAGCCTGAGCAAAAGAAATCTTGCTTCAACAAGTTAGTGCAATACTGCCAATCAATAATCAAATTCTTCTTGTTCACCACCAGAGAAAAACTACATATATAGTTAACATCATCATTTCTTTTTGGTACCCTTTTAGTTTTTATCATAGAGAATTAACATTATCAAATGCAAATCTATTCATCCACTCTAACATTATATGTGGTTACATGTAAGAGAGCACTTTATAAACCGCCATATATTTGGGCTTATCTAATTAATATCGTTAAATCAAGCAAAATAAAAAAAAAACCCAATGTAGTTTTGGTAGGTTATGAAAAGTTTAAAACTAGAACTACAAAAAATAAATAAATATAGAAAAAAATTTTCTCCTATAATTTATTTTCTGTTAGTATATTAGAATTGCTTTAGTCATAAAAAAGAAAATCAAAATTAAAAATAAAGTATTTCAATGTATATATTTCAATTTTCCTTTACATTCGGCTGTGGTTGGGCTCTGTAATATTGGGCCACGTCGCATGATCAATGAGCCCAAAACCCTAAAATGGCATGGGCAATTACGTACTTTCAACCGCCACCCAAACTCCCACAAAACCCCTAACCATCCTATCATATGACTATCTCATTTTGAAACCCTAGCCGAAACGCCCACCATTTCCTCTGCATCTGCAGCCAACAGCAGGATGCAGATATTTGTCAAAACCCTAACGGGGAAGACCATAACCCTAGAGGTCGAGTCTTCTGACACCATCGACAATGTCAAAGCCAAGATTCAAGACAAGGAAGGCATCCCACCCGACCAACAACGTCTCATCTTCGCCGGCAAGCAGCTCGAAGACGGCCGCACCTTAGCCGACTATAACATCCAGAAGGAATCGACTCTCCACCTCGTCCTCCGTCTCAGGGGTGGCGCCAAGAAGAGGAAGAAGAAGACCTACACCAAGCCCAAAAAGATCAAGCACAAGAAGAAGAAGGTCAAGCTCGCCGTGCTCCAGTTCTACAAGGTGGATGAATCCGGGAAGGTTCAGAGGCTCAGGAAAGAGTGCCCTAACGCGGAGTGTGGGGCCGGGACTTTCATGGCTAACCATTTTGATAGGCACTACTGCGGTAAGTGTGGGCTCACTTATGTTTACCAGAAGGCTGGTGGGGATTGATTTGGGTCGGGTTCGACCTTCGGTTTGGGTCGTTCCAAAAATAGATTTATAATTTTTTTTTAAAGCATGAGTATTAGGATTTTAATTTTCAATAATCGTTGGACTTTTTTTTTTTTGGTTATGTTTTATTATGTTATAATACTTCGGATATGATTTGGGGGTTTTGATTACAAATTTAGCTGCTTGAATCAAATTATGCTGCTTTCTATATATTTTTATTTGGTTGATTACTTGATGTGGTTCTTTTATATGTTACTTTGTTATCTGGTGAATTAGTGTGTGCTTGAAATTTGGATTGAAGCTCTTTTTTTGGGACCAAGGCTGGTGTTTGCTTTATATGCCAGACATGTTATGGATTTTAGACCCTTTGTATTGTAAAGCAGAGTGGAACCCTGAGGATTGAATTATGGAGAGGGTCAAGTGACTCAGACTCTTATCTGATTAAAATGAGGTCATAGAAAAATGTCTAATTTTTTACCAATCATTTAAGGCTATCAGCGCCAGAGTTATGGTTGTGTTCATTTTCCTTTCATAATTTTGATCAAAATCACTTGGAATTTAGAAATTTTGCATTGCATTAGGCCTGAGTCCCCGTATTGGCTTGTCAATTCTCTCTCTCTCTCTCTCTCTCCCCCTCTACCTGTCATTATTGATTCTGTTTCCAGTGTTTTACGTTGTAGGCCTATTCGAGATAGTTGTCATTGCATGTTGGTGGATACAGTTTTTAAGATGTTTTGGGGGTAAAACTCGGTAATACTCTTTTAAGAAATATGTCAACCTAGAACTTTTGATTCCCTGCAATGATATGCTCGATGTTGAATGCCAATTGCCTTGCTGATGGTAATGGAATAATAGACGACAGTACCTCTTATAAGGTACACTTCATGTATATTTCTCTTCTATTTTTGGTGTTCCTTTATGAATTGTTTCCCAGTAGGAAAATGAAATTTCAAAGTAGTTCTTCTATCTATCCTTGTCTGTTTATGATGATGGCATAGGAGACTATGAAAGAGAATGAAAGTGGCTGGGAAAATGGCTGGAGTTGTAGTTTCCCTTCTTCCATATCTGGTTTCCTACCCTCTCAAAAGCATGAAGGAACAATCTTGGGAGGATCAAATTTTTTGCTTTTACGATCAGTGCGAATGTTCCATAGCAGGGGATGTGAACCACAGCCAGGGCAAAGTACCTGTGCAATGGATTCCATTCATCAGATTCTTATATTAACAATTTTGAGGGAGGAAATGAATTGTGTTAGCCAAATACCATAAACGGGCCCATGGCGTATTAAGTTCGAGGAAAGGATATTGCTACCTAGGAAAGTACCAGCACGTTACTAGTTGTTTAACCAGAACTTAGGAGACAGGAGAATAGAAAAAAGAACTATACTTACCATGTAAAACCCCAGGCATGAATAACCCACTGAAAAACAATATACAAAAAGCTCCACTGAACAAAATATGCAAGCCGGAACCAATGAAATGGTAGGCAAAAAATATGAGTTTCATTAATAATAAAACGTGTGCAGTGCCAAAGCAGTAAATAAAAAATGAAATCCAGAAGTTATATCTGTTCCCTCTTCCTTTATCCTTTTATCTTCTTTGGAGTCTCCACACACACAGTTTTTTGAAAGATATTCAACATTATGGCTTGAGTACTTACGGAAGAGAAGTAGAACCCATGAATTTATTGTAGAAATGCAGAGTAATCAAGAAAAGTATTTCCACTTATGGAGTGGTGACATACTTACAAGGCTATTTAGAAAGGCATCCAGTATAAGAAAAACAGCATTCATAGTATGCATGCAACCCATTAACTGTCTAGAAGATATAAGCAGAAATGAGTGAACTTTCTAGTAATTCACCATATTAGGATAAGAGCAAGAGTCATAACATTATATAGCCACTATTGCTTATAAGTTTGCAAATTAAATTTAGCAGCAAGCATAATTCTTGCTTATCTATTGATGGTTTCTGCCACAAGTCTGTGAACAAAGGAGAAGTAATTTGGAAGAAAGAATTCTAAGATGGATGTTGGTACCAACCGCATAGCATAGAGCAGCACTGTGTAAGGAAACACAACATTCAACATGAACCTCAAGTAGCAAAACAAAAAAACTAGTATGGAACAGTTTGGTTTTGTACCATGAAACTGTCCTTTGTGACACTCAAGTGTTTCATCAGGAAAAATTATTCGAGGAACATTAAGGAGAATATTAGTCAATAACATGGTCCAAGAGAAACATTTTATGCTTGCTAGAAGAATGACCGTTATAGATTTTGTCTAGTTCTCTTGTGTAAGAATGATGAATTCTAACGGTAGTACTGTTATACAAGAATGTAGGGAGGACTTTCGACAAAGCCCAGTCATAAATTTATCTTTCAACAAGCTTGGAGGAACAGAATAAACAAAGCAGACGACAAATCCTTGCAATCAAATTAAGACTTTTCCATAAATGTAGCATAGATAGTTTATATGAAGTTAATCTCACCATGTTCAGGCCAAGGTGTGAGTTGATAAAAACGGGACAATAACACACCAAAATATATGTCCGTTAGGATAACAGCACCTCCACAAGTTTGCAGTGAGGCTAAAGTGAGTAATCAGTTGTCTGCAGGGAAAGAAAGACACTACTCCGTACTACAGGTCACAGAACACTTAATATAGATGTGGTGGTATCCTGTCTTTGATCAGTGTTGCTTTGAAGTTTTTGGTAATCACTTTGTAAACACGAAAGGGACAAAGATCATATTAAAACACGTCGTTGAAGTGTTATCAAGAACTCGAAGATGCATTGCACGTTTTAAATGGAAAAACTTAAGAAAAAATCAGCTTTTAGGATTGACAGAAAATTGAGTTTATATTTGACGTATTAACGGTGTATAAGTTGCCACATAATCAATAAACAAACTTGAAAATTAAAAATTCTTTAAAAATAAAATAAAGTAAACTTTTATTATTTACATTTTAGGACATAATTTTTTTAAAAAAATTTGGTAGTTAATGATGCGGCATACGATGTGGTTTGATGACAAACCTCAGAAAATTTTGATATATCCATGACTGACCTGATATATAGTTTGCATAAGATATCCCCAAAATCCTGCCCTTCGCTGAAACTTCTCCTGAGCATAGTGACTCTGCAACTTGGCTTTACCCGACATCTTTTTCCCCATAAGTTACAGAGTTTCCAGTTCCACCCTCTTCCACATCTTTTTTCAGAAACTCATCCCCTGCACCATTTTCAGGAAGAGGTGTACTTAAGCACAACCAACATCCATAAGCAGAAATGACAGTCCCCAGCTACGCATAGAAAGGGCATATGTGAAGAAGGAGAAACTTTAATAAAGTTTTTGTCAACAAAGAAAAAGGTATGTAATTTAGTATCATTGAAATCACATATTTGCATCTTAAAAATAGACTATAAATAAGCGGATATTAGTACTAGGAAAAGATAATGGGAGACATGGGATTTAAGTTCTTTACATACCGCAAAATAGACCACAACCAATGCAAATATCCACCTGCAGATTTGTTGCATCACCGGATTAGCTATCAGAAGCGTTCATTTCTTTACTATAGGCAATGGGTTTAACATTCTCAAGAAAAAAAAAAAGATAGTAATATTTTGTGGATCAAAAAATGTTCAGCATAGGATGAAGGAAAAGTCTTCAAAGTGTTAATGTAAAGAAAGCAAATACTAAGAATAGTATGTAAAGATTAAAGTATGAAAAACCAAAACATGAAGGAAAGTTCGGAGATGATCATACTCAGTGTAGAAATAGAAAGCAAAAGCTCCCTCCAAGGCAATAGCCTCATACAGTATCCGAGCCAAGCATATAGAAGCCAAAGCTCTATAACATAGAAGCCAGCAGGGATTGAGCTTTCTCCACTGTGGCTTCCAAAAATCATCGAAAAATAATGGGTCTGTTTTAACTTTCTTGATCACTTACGAAGCTAAAACAGATGGGGCTACGATGATTAATGCACACACTGGAACTTGCCATCTAAGCCAGTACCCCAGATCTTCACCGTTATAATTCGACATTTCTCATTTGATTAGAGGAAGGAAAGATTTGGGGACTTGGGAAATAAGTTGGGAATATGAGAAAGTTATTGGAGTTTGGTCATCAGAGCTTTCCAAGTTGTCTCTCGGACAATGAAGATTAATTGCTTTGTCGGAGGTCAAAGGTAGTTGACTTGGGTAAGTTCCCAATATAGCTGGGCTTTTATATTTTGTTTTAAGGAGTCAATCAAGGCCTAGTTCACTTCTTTCAGACTATCCGGCCCATGGAATTGGACCATAAGAAAGGTTCTGGCTGGTTTACAACTTTTTCATTTTTCTTTATTGTTGAAGTTAGAATTTCTTTTTACCTAAATTACCTAATTAGTAGTCCAATTCTTTCTATAAATGTAACTAAATTTAAACATTTTTGTGATCTTAACAATATAATAATAATAATCAAAAGAATCCAGAATATTAGTTTCTCAAGTGACAAGACTATTAGTTGTTCACCAAGAGGACCAACCCTATATGGTAACCATTAATTTTCAAGTAATTGCTTGTTTCATACTGAACTCCCTTCCTATATTAAATTGGAATTGAATTCATTTTTTTTTTATGTTAGAGATTATCAGAATTTAAATTTTGATTATTAAAATTAAAATTTTAATATTCTACCAAACTGTAGTCAAGAATTTAAAATGTTTCTGTGTGATCTAATCAATTAACCTCAAATTTTACAAAATTTCACTAATATTGATGACTGAAATGGTTATATATGTGTAAAAGGAAACACAAGAGAAACCCAAAAAAAAAAAAAAACTATCAAAGAAAAAGGGGCTTTTAATTTCTAGTACAAAATGCGTATAAAACCAACATGAAGAAACTTCCTCGGTGTAGTAAACAAAAACGGAAGCATCCCATTCGACAATGTCCTACGACGGGAACCCGGCAAGGACTGCAAATGAAACAAAACGAGTCACCACTAGCCATCGGGGATGCACTCCTTCCCAACAACTGGTCCATAGCTGGTAAGAGCCAACATGAGCCCTTAGTGTGGCGCGTACGAACCCATCAGCATCCGGTCGAGCCGCTAACAGACTCTCATATACGCTGTCCTCCACGCATCTAGTTGCAGCGTCCTTTCTCCATAAAACCCATAAGGACCCAATGAAGGCAGCCGCCACAATGCCAAAACAATTGAAATCATACCAATATACTACTTGGGCCATGGTCAGACTAACGCTTTGGGATCAGTTTCTTGCCCTTTTGCAATGCAGGCGATTGATGTTAAAGTTTGAGGGAAGAAGGGTATCTAATGATCGTCATTGGTGTAAGCTGTCGAAGACAAGAAATTTGTTTAGTAATTTAGAGGAGAATTAGCTTTTGAATTTGATACGAGAATGGCTGTTTTAACTGCCTGGTTTGAGTCTTTGGAAATACGTTTATGATAAAATTTGACATCAAGGGAAATCTGGTCAGTAAAAAAATATAATATTAGGAAAATTCCATATAGGGTTCGGACAGTTTTCATTGAAATTGAAATTTCAAGTTTGATCAATAAAACCTGAGATAGTCCGTCTGTTTCTGATGATCAAATTTTTTAGGGTACCTGCCAATTTTATCCACTTATAGTCTCATACGTTTGAGCTAATCAGATTTCTTATCAAGCATCCAATTGCCCTACCCAGACGTGTTTGGCTATAATTTATAACTGGTAGACAATCTCAGGGAACTTCCATCTTTGAAGATAATTACATATCAGTAAAGTCCATGAAGTGAAGCCTTATAGCTGAGTTAATCCTTCGGGCGCCATTAGCTAGACAAGTCCAAATTCCTGAAGAAGAAAACCAAAATTCCTGTGAATGTGCTCGTGCTAGTAATGCATTTTTTAAGGTCTATGAAAAAAGCATGAGTTGTCTGCTTGCTACACTGTAGTTGGATGAACAAAGCAGTTCCTGTAAAAAGGCATCTTGTTCCTTAGAAATCCATAATTACCACCAGGAACGTAAAAATAAAATGTCCACAGGAAAATTATTTGGAAAACAATTAAGAGTTTTTCTTTTCTAGTTGTTCACCCCATGTACTCTCGCTGTCACTGGATTAATTTGCTAGTCTTCTTTGCTTCAGCTTCTAGTTTCTGTCATCCTTTCTGACACTAAACTGTTGATTATTGTCTCAAGAAGCCGTAAGTTGCTAGCTTCATGACCCAGTACTTGAAAACTAGTAAAAAGCTAAGCAATTAGAGATTATTCGCTTTTATATTTGTTCTTTTGATGCATTTTGTCCTTTACCACGAAACACAGGGCGGGAAATCAGAAAAGCAAACAAAAGAACCGTGGAGAAAGCTTTAGATTTGAGATATTGGCAGACAAGACTGATGGATTTGTGAAGTAGAAAATAGAAAAATATGTCATTGCAGATTATAAGGAAAATGCACATGGAATGTGCTGGGAACAAGGTTTGACTCGCAATGAAAACTTTGCTGTTAAAATTTTACAGAGAAGCAGAATTAAAAGCCAATCTATATTAAATATTGGCTTCTGCACTGTAAATACCATCAATTTGAAAGTGTTGAAAAGCTGTGATTAACCACTGTAAAGCCTCCATCAACTGCCAAGTTTTGCCCGCTGATGTAAGCAGATTCATCAGAAGCTAGAAACAATACAGCCTCTGCAACATGCCTAGCCTTCAATACAATACCTTTCAAGTTGCTCATGGAACAACTATTGGCCTCTACTTGACTTGGTTCCAAATTGTAAGCTCTACAAGCTAGAGGTGTAGCAACTCCATATGGAGAAACGCAATTGACTCTGATCCCATAAGCCCCTAGTTCGCTACAAGTTCCTCGAACAAGGCCGACAATAGCATGTTTTGATGTTGTATAACCATGCGGACCAGTTCCTCCTACAGAAGATGCTACGCTTGCAGTACATATGATGGATCCGCGTATATTCTTAGCCACCATAGCGCGAGCAGCATGCTTGATCGTGGCAGCAACACCTCGAACATTTGTGGCCATAATGTTGTCAAAGGCATCCATGTCAAGTTCTAAGATACCAGTTAACGGACCTACAATACCAGCATTGCTGAACAAAATGTCCAGCTTTCCATGTTTCTCCACCGTGTAACTCACTGTTTCCTCAACCTGCTTCTCATCTCTTACATCGCAGTGGCAGTAACTAACCTTGTCTAGGCCTATTGATGCAGCAACTTGATTCCCAAGATCATCCTGGACATCAGCAATAACAACAAAAGCCCCATGTTCTACAAACAACCTCACTGTCTCTTCACCAATCCCGCTGGCTGCACCTGTGATAAGAGCCACCTTACCTTCCAACCTAGAAAATCTCATACATAGAAAATTGTTACTCTATAAAAACATTTGCAGCATTGGAAAAGACAATTAAGAGTTAGGAATTTTTTGGGATGCAATCAGTCAATCACAGGAGAAAGAGTGTCAATTAGCACAGGCAGATCTAACAGAGTATTAAACAAAGCTAAACATACCTTGACTTAGACATCAGAGAAGTCTCCTATTGAGCCTGCTCAAACTTATAAATAAGACCTTCGGATCTGCTGTTTTCTAACCTCGTGATCTTGCCTATTTATAGGATTTACCAGGCTGCAGAGCTCGATCAGGATTATGTTTTTGTAGAACTGGTTTATTTGTGCAAGAGAGAAATTAATCCATGTTAATTAATCATTGTAAAAGCACAACTTTTGGGACTTGGAACTTCATCAACCGTTCTTTTTAAGTTAACTGTACATCTCTATAATTATTTAATCTACTTTAGAACTTGTGTCAAACCAAATTCATTGTCTGCATAAGAAATTTCATGTGTTATTTTAGATTTTCTTGCAACTAGGCAATAGTTTATTCCAGTTAAATACAACCATGATGCATCTTCACATGATTGCATTAACACCATTGGTTATGATTCTTATCTTGTCTTCACAACTGTTGCTTGTAGCTAGCCGCTACCAGGCAAGCACTTTTTGGTAGATAATGACTAGGAATTATATAAACATAACTTCCCTTTCTTACTATTACATGAATTTTTTTTTCACTATTATTTTATTTTTTTAAAAAGAAAATTTAGATATTTTACATGCTTTAATATATACTAATATTAATGTAGAACAAAATCATTCATCAAATTTATATATTAATAATGGGAACTTATGTATAAAATTATTTATATTCATCATATCATTTTTGACATAAAAGATGAAATTAAGCATTTTAGCATCTTGTTTAATGATAAATTTTTTAGCATAAATATGTAAAAATATTGTTTGATAATTAGAAAGCAATATTTTTTAGCAAATAAAATAAGTCTTATAGAACAATCTAATAAATCACAATATCAAGAGAAAGAACACAAATTAAGCATGGGCAAATCCTTTCATAAATGTAGCACATTAAGCATCCATACAAAATTATATTTATATCTATGCTCAATTGTTTAAATCTACCATGGTACATGGTCACATATGTTTTAACAATATACTTACCACTTATCAAACTTTCAAACACAGGAGGAGGTAGCCTTAGACGAAATAAAATCTTATGAAACTATCTCTTGGCAAAGAACTACACCACAACTGTAGATAACAAAAAAAAAATTGAAAACAAAAGCAATGGACCTCAATTTTATCCCGATTTAAAAAATTCATTGAGTTGGTTCGAAATTTATTGAATACGAATTATTTTATTATTTTAATTCATCGAAATTTTTTATTACAAAATTTATCTAATTAAAAAAATAAAAAAATATATTGTGTGACACCTCCATTGGATTTTTTTTCATAAAATTAATCTAATTTAAAAATCAAAATCTTTTAAAAATAACAAAAAAAATTTAATTTATCAAAATCAAGTAAATACAAATTATTTTGATAATCTTTATTCACCAATTTTTTTGTTGTAAAATTTATTTAATTTTAAAAAATAAAAAATAAAAGAAAAAACTCAAATTGTGGTGCCAAGTGATACTTCTACTGTTCTTTTTATAAAATTTATCTAATTAAAAATTTTAAAATACAAAAAATTAAAAAAAATTATTCAATGTAAACACCCTAAGGTTGCAAGAAATCTTGCAACTTTTATTCTATACATATCAATATAGAATTAAATAAGCAATAAATTTATATATATATATATAATCAAAAACCCTAAATGATTTTGAACTGCTCATGGTTTAAAGATTTGAAAAACTTAACTCTAGTCTTTCTTTTTAAATGTACTTATTGAATCGGGTTCAATTGCAATCAATCAAAAGCAGTTGTTTTATCATCTCTATTTTTATAAAATATTGTTTATTTAAAAAAGTAAAAATAAAGAAAGAAAAAAAAAACATTTTAAAAAAGTTACAAAAATAAAAAAAAAAACTAAATAAAAGCACAAAAATAAATTTAAAGAAAAAAAAATACCACATAATACTGTCGATACTCTTCTATAAAATTCATTGTATGTTTTAGAAACAGTGTCCTAGAGACCAAAAGTCTCTTCATAGATTGTTAGGCACTGCTCGAGTGTGACATAAATGCTGGTCCACTGGAATCGTAAAAAACAACCCAATGTTCACCTTCAAAATCCATGTAAGCAAAGCTGGCTACAGCACAGCAATGCTATTTGGCTATTTCCTATCCTGTCTCGGCAACAAGCGGACATAAAGAACCCAAGTAATTCGCCTTTTGGGGTTACGTGCAGCCTCTGGCTCCCCCACCATGTCAGCAATTGTATTGCAGAAGAAAGAGATTACTACAAGATTAAACGGAGGAATAATTGAAAGAAACTGAAAAGTGAAAATGAAAAAGAAGCTTATCACCTCCATTTCTGAGATTCTATCTATATAGATAAATTCATTGAAAGCTACTACCATTATATATCTACCATTCCAGTCCAATTTGTCGAATAAATTAAATTCATGGGAATCGGAATTTTAATGTTTTTGAAATGTTTTCAGTTGGAAAAAAACCAAGAACCCAACTGGGATGAACCAAACTTTCATTGATGTTTTGTCAGTCCTGCTCTTCCTTGGTAGCAAATTAAACAATTAGAACAGTTCAGGGAAAAGATCCCAGAGGAAAGGCAAAAGAACATAAGAGAACGTTTGAGAGCTGATGCTGGAATATCACTTTAACCAACAACACGACATATAAAACCATAAAATCAGGAGGAGGAAAAGCAGGTGGTGGGTCATTTAGGGTAAGTCTCACCATATATATTTTTTTCTTTTACAAGGAAGGTACAATATTCCTTTTAAAATTCAGCATCAGACACCAGAATAGTTCAATTTGTCTGGAAACCAAGCAAGCCAAAGCGTTAAACACAAGTTCACACACATGGCTACATATATATAAATATAATTCTATAAATGGAAGAGAGGGAAGTGTATCATAAAGTATAATCGTTTTTAATTATTTAGTGTAGATTTCCCCCATTTAAGTTTTTCCCAAAGTTATTTGAAATAACAAAATGGATCCATTTTTGACGCTGGGCCTTTTGTCTTCTGTTGATTATTCTGACGCAAAAATCCAAACTTCACTAGCATGTAGTTGAACTTGAAGCAACAAGCTGGTCAAATAACACGTACATAGAAAGGAAAATAGCAGCGTAATGTAAAGCGTCTAGTGGGCACCCATGCAACGAGATCGGGGCAGTCAGTTGGCCCCAAAAAATCCAAATAAAAAGGAGGGTTCGGTTCCTCAAAGGCCCAAAAACAGCAAATGCTGTTTTGGTGTGTGCATTGAGCCCCTCCCGTCCCCACAATCGCAAAATGAGACGTGAGTCAAATTAGCGATTATCCACGACATGCAAAGAAACAATAGGTCAAAGAAAACCACATCTGTGATATATTGTTTGCTCTTCAAATAATTAGCTACTCTGCGGGAGGATCTTAATCTTATGTTAACTATATATTGTCAACAAAGAAAGAAATTAATTAATGTCAGCCTTTCAGCCTTCAAGGCATTGATACAGTAATGCAAGCTTCTGTTGCCATTACTGCCTGAGCAAGAAACGCAGGGACTAGCAAAATACTATGAAAAGCATCTCATGCAATTGCATGAGATGAACAAGAAGACAGTACTGAAAACTTTGAACTTTATTGACAATATATGAACGTACACCTCGCAAATGAACAATGAATTCACAAGGGCAGCCACCCTGGATTTTGAGTAAAAGAATCCACAAATGACTTGAGCAGACTCATAAATTGGACCATCTCTACACCACCATCCTCGATGTACATCCAACCAGAATCCGCCATAAATATACCAAAACCAATCCCTGCAAAACTTCAAGCTGCTTTTTGTAGCTCTAATTGAAATAGCCAGAAACAGCATAATATCCCCTAATGAACAAGAGTACTATTGTGGCACAAAAAGAAAAAACCAAAGAGTATAATTTAAATTTTTATTTACATTCACCGATTGGAAATGCCATCTAAGAAACTCCTCAAGCTACACAGGGCATCTGCAGACAGGCTACAACACCTCAATCTTCTTTGCCGAGGAGATGTTTGCTCCTGGTGATCAGGTGCAGAGAAGCATACAACGATCACTGTGAGATTATCAAATGTGTTTCGACGTAAGGCCTCCATGACAAGGTCTCTAGCACACTGCTCAGGGTCATCATGCCGCTGCAACCCTCTGTGAACTAGGCTAACTGCATGCTGACTTGACATAACATCCCAAATCCCGTCACACCCAATGATAAGGAACTCATCATCCTCTGTCAGAACCACCCGTCGGAACTCAGGCTCTGCAATGAGAGGTGAAGAAGAACCCTTGGGGAACTTCATGTCCCAATCCCCCAAGGCCCGGGAAACTGATAGAACACCATTAAGATACCCATCATCAATAAACCCGCCCAGCTTTTCTACTCTCCTTCGTTCAGATGGATAAATAGGTCTATGGTCTTCCGACATATCTATTGCCTCCCCTTTTCGACAGAGAACTCCTCGGCAATCACCAGCATTGGCCACCATTAGAACCCTAAAGCACAGACAACAAGGTAGAGGTTTAAAAGCTTAAAACAACACTCAAGATGACTGAAGTGAATAAATAGCAATCAAGACTATAAAGCATGAAGATACCTTCCAAATATCAGAGCAGTAAGAGCGGTTGTTCCAGAGGAGCTATTCACAGTACAGTCATCCGCAAGAGCTAGGTCAGCAAGGAGAAATGATTTCCGGAGAGAGTTCTCAACCCCTTCCAGAAAAACATCATCAACCTCACTAGTCTGGGGAAAATTGACATCTTCAAAAAAGAATCTAAGTGCATTTTTCCTTGTATATGCTGCTGCTTCAGGACCTCCATGACCATCAAACACCTGGATATGAAGCATAACCTAAATTAGTTATAAATCATACAAGATCATCAAATTACAGCAGTAGCAACATTAGCCAAAATAGCAATTACCCCAAAGAAAGCACTAGGTTTAGGAAATTTGAAATGGGATCCCAAATTTGATGATAGATCATCTATTCTAATATGTTCATCTTCCATGTATCTCCTAGGTCCAATGTCAGCAAAACTACCTGAACGGATGCTCGGTTCAAATTGCAGGACGGTAGATTCAATCCTTGGATCTGGGACTTTTTCTAGAGATTTCACATCCTGAAATAGGAACAAGATTGATATAATGCTTATCGCTTAAAAAGTTTAAACTTTAAACTACTAAGTATATTTCTCTTAAATTGACATAATAGCAGACTAATATATATTCACTAGCACCTAAAGAACTCGCCAATCAGCTGTTGCCAAAGCTAGACAAATTTCATTTTTTATTCCCTAGATGCAACTAAACATGGGTAGATAGATACAACCTTCTCAAATTTCAAATATGCAAAATTACAATCACAAAGATTATAAAGTTAACAATTTTAACATCTCTTTTCAAAACCCTGAAAACAGAAAATCTATGGATCTTAATGTTGTAAGCTAAGAACACACTCCCTCTAAAACTTATCCATAAATAGAAAAAAATAGTTAAAACATTTCAGGCTAAAATTCCAGAGAACATAAAATTCGAAGAATAAAACAGCCAACATAATTATACTTTTGCAATCTTGTAAAGAAATTTCTTTAGAAGTCAACCCCTCATCAGAATTCAGATTCTTTACAAACATAAAAAAAAGGGGGGGGGGGGGGAGACTAACCAGTTGAGAGGTGGATAAATCGGCGGAAACCGACTGAGCAACATTAACTTGTCCAAACTTAGATGAAGAAACCGGTGAGGAAATCGCAACAATTTCATCAACATCCTCGATATTACTTCCTTTACCAAAAAACGGAACCTCCAACACCGGCACGTTCTGTTGACAAACAACCTCAGCTTCAGCTACCATCTTTCTTTTTTTTCAGACAATAACCATAACAAAAAACAAAACCGCCGCAACAGAATTAAAACTCTTCAAACTCTAATGAAAACGATTTAGTTTTCTGTAAATTGATTTTTTTTTTTTTTTTGGTTAGCAAAAAAGATCAAACTTGGCGCGTGTGGACTTCAATTGATGTTTATAGGGTCATAAATGGGGACGAACAGGTAATTAGAAATAGGTTAAAAGGAGTTGTTGTTTGTTGACACATGTAAGTTTTAGAACCTTTAGATTTTGTTGGGAGCAGGTTTGATCATCGATCATCACAGTTGACACGCGCAATATAAAAGCAAGCAGCCTGGGCTTGACGGACACACGCAATACAGTTTTTACGTCGGCTTGCGTCGTTTTTTTAAAAAACTATATTTGGCGAAGGCCCTGCTTCGATGTAAAATGACCGATTCATCCTTCGGGCACCTCCCAGCGCTTGGCATACTAGCTAGCAAGGAAGCGGTAGTTTGTGTTAGTTGGGAGATCAGCGAATCAGGTATTTGTTATTTAATGAACAAAATTACCCTTCAAGTTTGCATAAATGACAAGCTTGTGATATACGACTAGTACTACATCGTATTTATCGTTTGCATGTGGAAAATCTGAAATCTGAAGGCGGTTATAACGGCATCCAGACCGTCTTGTCAGCATCGTTGGCCCCCATTTGCTTTTTGGACGGTCCGGATAAATCTGGAGTATTGAAGCTTTTGAATTTCTATTATGAAGTTTCCCTACTGTACGGTTAATTTCAGTACCACACGTTTATAGCCAGTGGTAACCTCATCTTTCTTTCTTTTCTTTCACGTGCATAACAAGGCTGAATGCCAGAATTTAACAAAAATGAAACAAAATGGAAATTGAGGACGATAGGAATTAATGTGCACTAATTTAGCATTTTTAGATGCGATTGCTTGCAAATAAATATTCGAAGATAATTTTGTTAGTCGATATAATAACGTATAGATTCATAAATTTATAATTAAATTTATTAAATGAATAAAATTATCATTATTATTTTTTAATTAAGTATGATTGATTATTTAAAAAATTTATCATTTTAAAGAATTTTTAAACTTGACTAAATTTTTTAAAAAAAAAATAAGTTCAAATCTATTAATCAGAATAGAGTTCGAAAGTCGATTACATGTGAAAAAAGTTATAGCACATCCACATGTCCATCCGAATGATAGTATCATATTATTTCGAATTTATCCTAAGGCTTTAAGTTTAATTATTTCAAATTTTATGTTGAAATATTGAAAATAATTTATAAGATTCTTTCATTAATCTGATAAAATTTTTTAAAAATATTTACTCATCTCAAGAGTATTCAATAATCCAATTTGATTTTTTAAAGATACTCCGTCATTAGAAAAATATTTAATTATTTATTTATTCAAAAATATATCTAGTTATTCCATAATTTTGGTCAAATTAGAGATTTTTTAAAAAATTTCACCATTTAGGCCTATTTATATATTTTTTTTTAAAGAAAATAATATGACAATTACTTTTATTGAAAATTTTCATATAAATTATTCCACAATTTAGGTCAAATTTAGAGAAAATTTCTCACTTAGAGATTTCTTATAAATTTACCATTTGAAATTTTTAAAAATCTCATCCTTAAATAATTATCAAATATTTTCAATCCAAATTTTATTTAGAAAAAAAATACAATTACTTGTATTGAAATTTCATCTAAATCATTCAACCATTTAAGCCAAATTTAGAGGAAATTTTCACCTAAAGATTTATTAGAAATTTACCATTTGAAATTTCTAATAATCTCATCATTGGGTAATTTGTATTTAATTCTAAAAATTTTTATATCCTTATGCTTTTTATGTTTTTTAATTTTTTTGTTTGAAATAAATATTAATTATTGTTATTAAAATTTTATTTAAATTATTTCACCATTTAAGATAAATTTAGACAAAATTTCTCACCTAAAAATTTTACAGAAATTTACCATTTGAAATTTATATATATTTCATCATTTGATAATTAATATTTATTCCCATATATTTTTATTATTTTAATTTAATAATAAAAAACTAAAAAATAAATAAAATGCTTAAATAAAATAAATAAAAAATACTAAAAAAATTTTGAAACGGTTTGGCTCAAGTTGGAAAATGGCGAGGCTGGAAAACAAAAATCGTTGCTTGGCTCAACTCGACTGGGATGGTTGGTTGGAACGTGGGTCAGCAAATCGGGTTACGATCGGGTCAGGTTGAACCAAACAGAAATGCACGGATCTTCTGGGATTTGTAACGTCAAAACAACGTCGTTTTAGTAAGGTATAAAAGGCTTCAAACTAAACCTTTTCAACTGATTACTTCTTTATCCACTCTCTCATCGTCTTTTTTCTCCATATTCTCTCTAAATATAACCCAGATTTCAGTTAAAGTTATGTCAAAATCTAAAAAACCCGTCGAAAACTTCAAAGTTGGCTAGAATATTCATCGAAAAACTTAAATCTCATTGGATTTTGAAAATTTTCTAAAAATTTTTCAAAAAAAAAAGCCAAAAATTCTCCAAATATTCTTAAAATTTCTAAATTGCTTCTAACCACCTCTAAAATATTTCTAGACTCTACCTTCTGTTTTTTAGCTTTCTGATTCATCTTTTTTTTACTTCTGATTTTCTACTCATTTTCTCCTCTGTGTTTGCTATGTGATTACTGAGTTTATTTATAGGAACAATCAGAAGAATTTTTGATTAATTTCGATTCCTCTATTTACACTTATCCTTTTAGAAATTGAATCCAACTATAACTCTGCCAATGCCATTCAAGGTAAAATTTGCATAAAATTCAACATGTTATCTCCTAAAAAAAAATTAATGATAAGTCCAAAAATAAAATTAAAAAAAAAAACGAAGATAAACCAAAAAATATAAAATAAATAAATAAAAGATGGAAGGGAAAAAAAATTGAGTGGCCAATTAGGCCAAATAATCTGAGCCTATTGAGTTAGGCTTAATTAATTTAAGCTTAGGCCCAAACTTTGTTAGATCAAACTCGATGAATTCAAACTCAGATTAATTAGAGTGTTTACAATCGATATTAAAAAAAAAGAACTTGCACATATATAAAATATATTTGTTTAAAAAACTTGGAAAATGTTTGGCCTTTCTTATCTGCATAATTTAGAATATCTACAGTGTGGAGTTGTCAACCTGAATAACGCAGGATTTTGCTGGAGAAACCCAAGACATCAGAGAGCATCAAGTGTTCCTGTTAATTGCAGCATTATTGACTGAATTTCATCTGATATGCATATTATTATAGGTGGCAAATTGAATCATTTGGGCCATAAAGGTTTGAGATTTGGATAAGCTTTAGCTGTCATGAACAAATTTTAAACAATTTGGATGGTCCATTATCATCTAATTGATCATGGTTCTCAGAATACAAACTAATCTTTCTACCTAGCTAGAGAAATAGTAATGGCGATTGATCAATAATTTGAGCATGTCCAGAACAAACAGTATATAATTGTGCGAATCATGAATTTTTTAAATGAAACAACCTTGATCTGTTGGTCGAAAGGTAAGCATGGATGATGGAACTGGTAGATTTGGCATGAAAATGGATGCACGAGAGAATCTCGTTGGGGTTAGATAAGGAACCTCTAGCTGACATTTTGAATGGTAAGATCAGATTTTCTTATGCTTTTTAAAGTATTTCAGAATTAAGAGGAATGCGACAGCACAGCAATGTTTTCCACATTATTGCTCGTGCTTACCACTTTATACGATAAAAGTAACCAGGTGATAATAATTTCAAATATAATATGATAATATAATATAAAAATGATATAAAAAATTATATATGTATTTTTAAAAAATATATTTTATATTTATTTTTATCAACATGAATTTTGGTATAATATAATTTATGTCTTCTATGTGTTTACTTATTTAAACACGTGAACATGATATGAACAATATATTTAATTTAATCTTATTATATAAGTATAAATTTAGTATGTTTAATATGATTTACACATTTTTTTTATATTTATTTTAATTTAATATAAACATATAAAGATTATTTTAATTTTTAATATTTTAATTATGATACTTAATTAACTATTTAATTTCATATAAAAGTTATTTTAAACATTTAATTATGATACTTATTTAATAATTATTATAAAATTATTTTTATATTAATAATATAAATACAATATAAATATTAATATTAGTCCTATACATTATTATTTTGTTCTTTAATTTTTAATAATTTATCATTTTTAATTTGATACTAAAAATTAATATGATTATGTAATATAAATTAATATATATATATTAAATACATATTAAATGAGTATTAATTTTTTTATTTTTTTATATGTAAGTATTTTTTATATTATTAATATGTCAAATTTATAAAGTTATAAATAATGAATAATTTATAATTATTTATTATTTTAGTCATATTTTTATATATATTCGTGTTAGTGATATCTATTCGTATATATTCATATTAATTACATATATTCGTGTTGATAGTATTTATTTGTATTATATTTAAATAAATTAATTGTATATATATTGATTGTGTCATGTAGCATATAACACATATATTAAATGTATTATATTTAAAATTTAAACATATTTTATAATTCGTATCGTATTTATATTTTAATAATTTATATTATTATACATATTAAATATGATACGAGATATAATACAAAAATACAAATTACCGTATCTATAGTCGAACAAATTTGGAAAGGCGTGTGAACTTGTATCCAACAGATGGCAATGCCAAAACCCAAATTCCCATTCTTTGGTAACTATTCCTACCTGTGCTTTTCTACTATATATTTAGCTGAGCTATATCTCCCTCAAGTGTTGTGAGCTCAATACAACGTATAGCAACCACACTTTTCATCTGCCCCGTTTAGGAAAATCTACCTGGTTGGTGAGATATAATGATGCATGTGTATAACAGAGAGGGTTTTCTTATCTTAGCAAAACCTAAACCATAAAAAAGAAAAGGAAAAAGATCAGTTGTTTTGCTTTTGATTGACAGCCAAAAACGAAAGATTAATTGATTTCAATGTTACCAACTCGGAGGAACATTCTTAACGGGCCTCCAAATATTCATGAGATACTGTTATTCATTTGGGCTTTGGTTCACAGAAAAAAGGACTAGGGTCTTTAACCAATTATCAGCTCAGCCTCCTTGCTTGAAGAGTAAGTCCCAGTCCATACCATCCTTGAATCAGGTAGTTGGAGAAGTTGAATAACTAGCGAAGCTGGTAGAGCAGGTACAGGCACCAAGACGTGAACTCTGACCCCTAGTACTCTCCAGTGTTCATGGTTTTGACTGAATAGAGCTACTATTCAAAGTCACGACTCATGGATTCCTTTTAACTTTTGAGCATGTTTCGAAGAGCCAAGACCTGTTGGACATTATTTACTTTCTTGTTTGAATACTGTTTCTGGTGGTTACGATGCTTTAGCCTATATGATATGTTTCTCAAGTTCAAAATTTTCATATGAGTGCTTTGCTGTCAGGCATAATTGGAGTGGTGCTGACAGTGATTTCATTGACTCTGTTGTGCTGGTAGCGTACACAATTCAATGTAGGCAAGGATCTAGCATTTGCTTTGCTTAGATTAGCTGATTTACCCGGCACCTTCCTCATCATAAATGTTTTGAAATGAGAAGTTCAAATCAACTCTTCCTCATTGGAGCATCGATCGTTATTATAGATCACAAAAAAAAAAAAAAAGAAATTAGCCCTTTTAAAATCTAAAGCCCTTTTTTTTTTAGATGAAGAAATTAGGGGGCCTCAGCCTCCACAGATTCCTCCAACTTCCAACCTGCACAAAAACTAATTAAATGGCAATAATTATTGCCGTTCGACTGCCACCACAGCCATCAAAATCTACCCTACCATGAAATACTAGTTCTAATGGAAATATCAAAAACTCCGGAAATTGGATTGAATCAAAGGTTTTTCGAGACAGTCACATGCATTTTGTGGGTGTTGACATATTTGTTCCATTGTTTGAATGAAATCTTCAAACCTGATATTTTACCCTTCATTTCTTTAGCTTTTAACCTTGGAATGATTTCATTTGGAGAGTAAGTTAGCATTGATCGGATAGATATGAAAACTTTCATCATTATCCAATTTCCACGCGCCATGGATTTTTGGGTTTGCACTTGGAAAAAGGAAGATGCATGGGACCATGTGACTTCGGGACTTGTGATATTTTCATTTGCATATCTCAAAGCATTTTAGGTTTCGACTATTACTTGTGTTTATTGGTCAGCGTACTACATTTTTATGATGATTTTAGCCTTGGTAATTCAGTTCATATGGTTGTACCATATTTCGTATTAAATATAATTTTATAATTTAAATAATTTTAATATGAATTTGATATTTATTATATATATATACATAATATGATTAATATATTTAAAATTAATTTATGTTTAACTAATATAATATAATTAATATGATTATATATGAATAACATGATTATATATAATTAATTACTTAAATAATATAACACGACATAAAACGATTAATATGATTTATACAAATAACATAATTAAACACGATTAATTCATTTATTTAAAAAAATTACTTAAATTAGTATTTAAACAAAAAATTATTAAAAAATTAAATATTTATAATATATTTAAATATAAAATGATATGATAAATATAATTATTAATTTATTTTTAAATAAATTAAAATATTTTTTAAAATTTTGTTGTATTATGAATAGTAATATATTTTAAATATGATATTATTTTTTAATACGAATACAACATAAATAATATTATATTTTAATTACATTAAATTTATACATAAATTTTATATTATATTATTATATCATATATATAAAATTATCAAGATAATTTTTGCTTTACGGAGCATAAATTTGTTTTAAAACATCATTTCAAACAAAATACGAAATATGAAAATAATGTTGATTTTTTTATTTGCTCAGTTAGAGTTTTTCTTCCATTTCTTTTTTCAACCCATTCTTATACGTTTTTTGCAATTTAGAAGGCATTTTTAATTCAACAGAAAAAAAAAAAAAATCAAGTACAAGTGTTTGGAAAGCGGCAAAAGGCGCGTCTTTGAATTAATCTGAACGGAAATCATCAGCCAGTCATCAATTGGCTAAGCTGCCGCTTAAAAGTCGGTTTGACAATATGCGGCAATACCCAACAAAAGGGTACTTCAGTCAAACTAGTATTATTAAAATATCTACTATTCCAACAAATATTAAATTTTGTACAACATAAATTATGCTTTTCCAACTATTTTTGAGTGCGACAACAAGAAAATTTTAATTCAATCTTAACCATATAAAATAAACATAGCTACTTGTTTTGTTAAGAGAAAGAAAAAGTGGCCCTGCTTTATTGGCTGGGAGTTGAATAAATTGAATTAAAAAAATTTATTTTGACTATCAAAATATTATTTAGTGGGAGTTGAATTTGAATTTTATAAAAAAAAACCTTCTTAATTTGAAATTTTCAAAATTTGAATATCTCGGTATTAAATTCACCGGATTTAAACATTTATATTTTTTCAAAATTATTTCGTAATAAATGAAATAATAAGATTTTTGAGAAATAAAAAAGGGTGGGAGGGGAAACAGACAAAAGGGAATAATAGTTAGCTAGCCTGTCTGTGTTTGAACGGTCAAAAAGAAAGGCCTACTTGCCGTTGAAATGCGAGAAAGAAAAGGAAATTAATTTAAAATTGAAAATAAAAACACTCATAAATGTTTGACTGACTGTCATCAACACCTCCCACCACCAAAAAGAAATCCAGGCCAGAAAGCTCAAAGCTACACCGCCTCTTGAATACGACACTCTTCTCCGCCACTTCACCGTGAAAGATCCGATTTCCATGCCCACATTTTTCCTCTCATGATTCCATCTCACCCACCTTTTTTCCGGATTTCTTGATACGATCGGTAATTAATTTCCTCCACTCTCTTTTTTTTTTTTGTTGTTGTTGATTGTGAATCTAATGGTTGCCGTGTTTGACTGTTGGATCCAGTGTGTTTTCTTGTTATATTTTCATCTCCTTAGATCCTTCTTTCCTTCTAGGATTTCAAATATTATTTTTTTTACTTTTTAAAACTTTTGTTATTTAAGTACAGGGTTTTGCTCTGTTTTTTTCCTGAGGAAGTGAGGTAAAGGAAACTCCTCTTATTCTGTTATTTTCATGTGTTAAATAAACTACGATGAGCTTAACACGCAACAGTTAATGCGCTAAGAAAGACAACGATCTCTTTTTATCTAATTTCATGTAAATTGTAGTTAAAATGAGCTTTTCTTTTATGTGCTTGTTTATTATTTTCTTCCACAGATTGGGGATTTTAGAGCTTTTTTATTGTTATGTTATTTGAGTTTCCGATACATTGCCTATTTCTTTGAGGATGCACCTTTGACATTGTTTTCTGTGTTTTGCAGGTGATTTATTGAGTTGTTCTGCTGGGTTAAAGAAAGAATTTTCGACAGAGGATCTGTGAGATTCTCGTTTTTGCTTTTAGTTTAGTCCAATGGCTTCAGTAAGTATGGCGCCTGCTTCTGGATTGAGAGAACATAGTGGAAATACAGTCGGTGTTGATAGATTGCCTGCTGAATTGAATGATATGAAAATTGGGGGTGACAACGTATGTTATTAATCTTTCTAGTTTGTTTGCTTAGGTAATTGATTGTTGATCTTTCGGATTAGTTTTACAAAACCTATTACTATGTTGCAGGAAGTGGAAGCAACTATAGTTGATGGAAATGGAACGGAGACAGGGCATATAATTGTTACCACTGTTGGTGGTAAAAATGGCCAGCCTAAGCAGGTTAGTTTTATAATTTTCTCCTCGAGAACTAGAGCTTTTTTTGTATTATTTTTGGGTGTGTGATGGTTTTGTAACTTAACCTTCCAATCATTTTCAGACCATAAGCTATATGGCTGAGCGCATTGTTGGGAATGGATCATTTGGGGTTGTCTTCCAGGTACAGGAAGATTTCTTCCTCATCTTAGTTTTATTTGAAGATATGTTTGGATTTCATATTTTAAGTTAAATTTTAGGTTTGTACTGAATTAACTGTGGTATTTTAGGCTAAATGTTTAGAGACGGGCGAAACTGTTGCTATTAAGAAGGTTCTTCAAGACAAGAGATACAAGAACCGTGAATTGCAAACCATGCGTCTTCTAGACCACCCTAATGTTGTCTCTCTGAAGCATTGTTTTGTTTCCACAACTGTAAAAGATGAACTCTATCTTAACCTTGTGCTTGAGTATGTTCCGGAGACTGTCCACCGCGTTATCAAACATTATAATAAGATAAATCAAAGGATGCCACTGATATATGTTAAACTTTATTTTTACCAGGTATGAGCTAGGTTAAAATTGATGTTAATATGCCACTAATATTCACTTTTACTATCTTATTTCTATCTCTTATATCTTTATGGAATCAAGAAATCCATGTTAATATGCACTTACAAGAATTTGGTATTATTCTTGTCTTTTTGCAGATTTGCAGAGCGCTCGCTTACATTCATAACAGTATTGGCGTGTGCCATAGGGACATAAAGCCTCAAAATTTATTGGTATGTTGTCAAGCAACTTGCTAAATGCTTTCTATTGGTGATCAGTACAGCTGTATCTGTTTTTAAATTTCTAACTATTACCGGAGAAACATTGTCAAGAAATAGTTTGGCGGTTCATCTTAATGATTTCAAAGGACCATTAGGCGTTTGGCAAGGGAAAAACAATTTACCTTTCTGACGAATCTATGCATGCTACTATATTATAATGAGAAATCTGAAACTTATGCTGAAGAGCTTCGCGATCACAGTAATTTAAACAGAATGGGTCTCTAGGGTTATTGAATCACTGTTATCAACTTTTTACTTGAAGATTGCCACCATGACGTCCCTTGTTGTCAAGATACAAAATGTCTTGTTATTCATTTAGGAATAACTTAGTTTTCCCATCGTATCTGTTTATTTACTATATAAGGTTGGGTTTATCTATCATCGTTTATTAACTTATTTACACTTTTAAGCATACTTTCTCATTAATGCATTGGTTTCTTGTGACAGGTCAACCCACACACCCACCAGCTAAAACTGTGTGACTTTGGAAGTGCAAAAGTTTTGGTATTTAAATTAGAATCTTAAAAACTTTTTTTATTTGCTTCTTTGGACACTATCTAATTGTTCATGAGCCTAATGTTGGTTTAAATTTGCCAGGTAAAAGGGGAACCAAACATATCTTACATTTGTTCTCGGTACTACCGAGCACCTGAATTAATATTTGGTGCAACTGAATACACCACAGCCATTGACATCTGGTCTGCTGGCTGTGTTTTGGCTGAGCTATTGCTTGGACAGGTGGATAGTTTCCTTGCATTTTTTTGTTATATACATATATATATATATATATATTTCCTTTTATATTACTAAACAACTATTTTTTTACTCCAGCCTCTGTTTCCCGGTGAGAGTGGAGTAGACCAGCTTGTTGAAATTATTAAGGTAAATTTTAGTTCAAAATTCTCATCATAGTTTCAACATGATCATTATTGGAAAATACTCAAGTAAACATGAAGGATGGGAGATATTACCTATCCAAGTTCTTTCCTTATTGGAGGCTCTTAAATTACCTGGCATCGTTGACACTGTATTTCTGATTTAACCTAATGTTCGCTATACTTTCATTACTTTTTCTTCCCTTTTTCTAATACATGTGATTTTTATGCAGGTTCTTGGTACCCCGACAAGAGAAGAAATAAAATGCATGAATCCTAACTACACAGAGTTCAAATTTCCCCAAATTAAAGCTCATCCATGGCACAAGGTAGTGGGGATGACATGTCATTTCTTTAGTTTGTGAAAGATTTTTTGTCTAACATATGGTATTGGTCAATGTATCATGGGTAAGCAGATATTTCATAAGCGTATGCCTCCAGAAGCTGTGGATCTTGTTTCACGGCTATTGCAGTACTCTCCAAACCTTCGTAGCTCAGCTGTAAGTATCAAACTGGTTACAACTCTGTTATTTTTTTTCTCTGTAGTTTTCTTTGTCCTCATTCTAATAATAGAAAAAAAATTTTCATTCATTATGAAATTCCCTTGGTAGTTTTAATTCATATTTTATTTACTGTATCATTTGGTAATTATGTTTAGACCTGACATGTCATGGATCCTGCAAATATTCTTTTCTTCAATTAACTTTTTTATTCATACGCTACTTTATTGTATTTCAAGTTTGCTAGATATGTCTCTTTTTCATATGTACCATGTTAAGATGAGTTTTTATTTTCTACACAGATCGAGGCTTTGATCCATCCATTCTTTGATGAGCTACGTGATCCTAACACCCGCCTACCTAATGGACGTTTTCTTCCCCCACTATTCAACTTTAAGCCCCATGGTAACAAGCAAACCAATACGGCATTGATGTTTCTACTATTTTACTAATTGCATATGGAACTGTGGAACTGATGATTATTATTGCCCTGCCATTTCCATTTTTCAGAACTGAAGGGAGTGCCTGCTGATGTGCTAGTGAAGCTGATCCCCGAGCATGCAAGAAAGCAATGTGCCTTCCTTGGATTGTGATGCGGTACGTTGTTTCTTCTTGATGTCTGCTTCTTGCAGAAATCAAGGTCTATTGTAGAGAAGTAGGTAGTTGCCTGTTTCAGTTATATCATATGGAAGCAATGTTAATTGTTTTTTCACCCTCAATGGTTTTTTGTTCCCTCTATTAATTTTTTTCACCTATATTTATGTTCTCTTTTTTTCCCCTTTTGTAGAAAGCAGACTTGAGAATGTCTGCTATTATTAATATTGTTCATAAGACCTTAACGAGTCCCTTATTTCTAATCGATGACAGATCGTAAAAACATATTGGATTCAAAGTTGTTTCCTTTTAGTATAATTTAGTTGACCCGATTATAAGTTTGATGGCTGACGGAATTCAATCTCTGTTCCTTGATCCTTATCAGGCCTGGAAAATGTGTTTTGGCTCCAAGTTTTGGTCTTCTTAGCTAGCCCTGTAACTAAGCTAACTCCAGAGACCAAGATAGGGTAGAAAAGCTAGCAAGGTTTATGAATTAGTCTCCAAGTCGAGCAATATATGCGACATGTTTTGACTCGGCCTAAAAAAATCTCACTTGTGTTTTCTTCTTAAACGTACACTGAATTTTTGTCTGGTTTTTTTTTCTTCTGTGAATCTTTTCGTCCAATACTAGAGTAATATTTAGTGTTCACATAGTATATGACAAGCTGTTGGGTTCGCGTGGTCTGCTTCATGCTTGATGGTATGCAATTTTTTTTTTTTCTTGTTGGTTACCACTGACGTTTAAATTCAAAACCTTTTAATCCTGGAATTAATTCCAATACCCCTTAACTAACACTCATCGGTGCTATTTTGTTTTTTCAACGAGGGAATTCCTGTGACATCTGCTGAAGTTTTTGCATTTGTTTTTCGGGGATCAATGTTAAAGGTTACCTGTAGGGAGTGTTTGGATGGAGCATTTAAAGAAAGGATTTTATTTCAATCAAGTTTTTCAAAAAGTTAAAAATGAATTTATTTGTTTTGATAAATAAGAGAGAATTTTATAATTTAATTTAAAATTTTTTTCAAATTCTTAATTTTTAGTGCACATGATTTATGATCAAATACAAAATTTAAAAAATCATTTTATTTAATTTTAATAAATTTTTTATTTTTATAAATTTAATAATATTTATATTACATATTTTATTCATACATATCAATTTCTAATAAATTTATTTATTTTTCTGTTATAATTTTTTTATCTAATAAAATTTTAACCGATTAATTTCTTTTTAAGAAATATTTATTTAAATAAAATAACTATAAATGCTAATATTTTGCAATGATGTATTTTAAAATATTTTGTTTTCAAATTTTTTAAAATTTTAAAAATTCTTTGTGCAAAAACAGTCGTAAAATATAATAAGGAATTTATAAAACAAGTGATGAATGTGGCAGTGCAAGAATCAAATTACTACTAGACTAGCATTTAAAAAACATTTCTTTAGGCTAATATATATCCGAATTAGGAAGAACAAAGATTAATCTTTCCGCTTATTCATGTGTCTTAAAAGAACGACAAAAGTTGTAAACAAGCAAAGCAAGTGCAGAAGTAATTAACAGCAGATGAGATTTCAAGACAAGCAAAGCAGAAAGAGAGCATATAATCAGAGAATAATTCGTGGAAGTGGGTGATTTCAAGACAAAATTTGTCATCAAGGGGATCTCTTTGCTGTGTGGTTAAAATTGCAGGCAGCACTAAATTTAATAGTAACAAAGTGGTGAGACAAGGCTCTCCATCTCTTCCAGCGGGCGTGGCGTCTTCAGCTATTTATAAACTTGAAAAGAATCCAATATTGTCAAACATTGACGTCTTGGCATATGATGATATAAACAAAGATTTATTGCAAAATACGACTAATTTCAAATTCAAAGGGTGACCAAATAACAAAAAGGGGGGTGGGCAACCGCAAGAGTAAATCAGTAATGCTCCATTTTAACAAGTGAAAGGGGTTTCTGAAACTCTTACTGCCATAAATATGGAGGATTATCGCATGAATATGGGCATGAAAGGCTGCCTACAACTAACACCAAAAAGTATAGAAGGAATCTATCTACACCCACTAGCCTCTCTCTTCTGCTCAGTTTTTTTTTCTTCAAAACCTCCTGCTCAGTTCGGGGACATGAATGTTATATCTTACGATTTACTATATATCATAGTACATAGTAGTATTAAAGCATATATATAGTAGTGATTAAATTGTTAAAATATACATTAGATATGTTTACATATAGGATTAATGGGTTATAGAATATGTTAGGGCAAATAATGCTTGGACCCACTTCCCTCATCCATTGCAAAAATGTATTGGGCCCACAAACAACCACATAAACTTCACATTCCCCCCAAAAAAATTAAAAAAAAAATAAAAAATAAACCTCTCATTACCTGGTAAGAATTTCAAATCATCAAATTCACACTTGATTAAACCAGCTAGGCATAGGGGGTATTATTATAATTTTTTTTCACAAATTAAGCTACCATGAAATGATTGTTTTTATGGGTTTTTCCAGGGGAATGGAGTTACAATAACATGATCCAAATTCAAAGAAGATGGCTTTTCAAACGGATTATCAAACATCTTTTCGAATGCCGTCTCAATATTTTAATTACCTTTTATTCAAAGTTCCATTTATTAGATTCGTATCAGGCAGCAGCCTGCAACCGCTGTTGATTTGAAAAACCGATCAGCTTGAGCCATATTAGTCATCACATTAATTCACAACCATTAATTAATCCTCTGACTTTATATACATGAAATATGACGACCTTATTCCGTAGTCATAGAGATCATCATACATTTTCTTTTTATATATATATATTATTATTTGAGCGTCTTGTTGGTGTTCTGTTTTTGTTTTTGTATTTTTAAAAAATAAATATAAAAACAAATAATAAGAAATAAAATCATCAAACAAAGAATCTTAATATCCAATCTGGGCCCTAACAACCTTACCATTATTCCTTTTCTTCTAGTTTTGCACGTCAATTCTTGCAGTGAATTTGATTTCACACTTTCACCGTCACTAAATGCTATTTTATCCAAGGAAGATACAAATTGTTTCATCATTTTTGCCCATTCACGTTTGGCAGTTTGCTCAAAAATTGATAGGCTCCACCTTTGAATTTATCCAATATTGTATCTCATGTCCAGTTTATGAACATTTACGTTTTATGAATATTCATTGAAATTACTTTATCATTTTTCAATCTTAAATACCTATAAACAGACAAAGAAGCATTTGTTATAACCTAACCCGTTTCAATTAAGCTTTAATATCCGACAAATGGGAATTTTCGTTCTCTCTTGTAAAAGATTCTATCATTTTTCAAATTTTACAAACATATATAACATCGGAAAGTGTTATTACCTAGTTAACAAAGTCAATTCTCTTGTTCACTTAGTTAACAAACACATAGTTGCCGCATCACCATTAGTAAAGGTCAACATTTGGAACCTTTATCTTAAAATTGACTAACCCATCGTCAAGAAAAGATTCGTCCAATACCTCAACTACCATTCCATCAAAATATCATTTCAAAATTAAATGTAATTTATAATTTTATATGAATTTTCTTTAAATTTTACAAAGAATCATCATAAATTATTAATTATTTTAATTAAATTATTATCTTTCATCTCATATATATAAATCTCAAATATGTAAGAGTTGAGCATTTACCTTTATTGTAGCTTCTCATCTTTTTCCTCATCAAATCTTAGACATTTTTATTGAATTGAGCATTGGAGTGTGTTTCAAAGAACCAACTTCCATATTCTTTGATCGTATTTTCAACCTGCACATTAAAGTTCCCTCACCTTTAGTCTCTAACCAATTTCCATCTAGCTGAACATTTTAAAACACTATAAAATAAATGAAGTTAAGTTTTTGAGGATTGTTGTTTAATTAAAGAGCACGTTGATAGATTGGGATCCATATGCGCGTGCCAAGAACCATTCCAACAACTTTTGTCGGCGGCTGAGCAAATTGTTAATATATTATATTATGATCACTTGCCGAGCCGTCGTGTAAAACCAGAACGCAGACAATAGTTGTTTAAAATTATCGTCGTCAATACATCATTATTAAGTCTTCTCTAAGGTTTATATTTAATGTTAATACCTAGTATTATGTTTTTACTTATTGTATGCATTTAAACTAGTTTATCAAAGTCAAAAAGTTAATTTGTCAATAAATAAATTTGAATAAAAAAACCTAACAAATGTAACCTTATTTAATGCACTTATAATTTAACTTTAAAATAATTTTTAATATTTTCATAATAAATTTAATTTAAATGGACTTAATCGAACATGTCAACTGCAAGCAGCTCGAATCTAATATTAGAACGGTGTGGACTCAGATCCAAGTTTTGGAGTTGATTAAACTCTGACAGGAATTCTACGAGTTAATTAGTGAGTATTTACAGAACTCGTTTCTGACAACTTGAACGGTGGTTCACGTTTGGTAGTGACAATCAATGCTGTTCATTGACGATGGCTTCTTTGTCAGTTTTCTACGCAAAGTACTAATGGTCTGCTGCTACTTTTAATGACTTGCTGCACATTTTTTTAAACCAATGATAAGACTTAATGAGATCATAATGACATCCAAAGCTGTACCTCCACAATTTTTTTTTTTTAAGGATCATAAGTGCACATATTTTTTGTTCATTCAAAATTTTTTTTGTAAAAGATTATGATTATTAAAATATTTATAATCTTATTCCTTTAAGGGAAAAAAAAAAAAAAAACCCAAATTGTGAAATTGATGGGTAAAAAGAAAGGTTTGATAACAGAGGCACAATGACGCATGGGTGCTTCACGTTTTTCATCATCTCTGACTTTTGGGCTTGAATGTCTGTCACACTTTACACACTTTTCTTTTCCCAACAATTTTCAAGAAGTTGCTGGTAGGAAAAAGATATAGATGAAAAATTTTAACTGAAATTTATAAAGTTTTTTATTAAAAATAATTAAATTAAAATTAAAATATTTTATTACATATAGTAAGTGTGTAAATTTAAAAAAAAATTAATAAATTTTGATAGATATTTTTATATAAATATTTTTAATATAAATTTAGATAAAACTTTTACTGTTAAATAAAATGTCAATAAAATTTAGATTATAAATAATATTTTTAAAAATTTTATATATTTTTAATCTTTATATTGAATTCTATCAAATCTATTAATTTAAATATTTTATTAAATTTTTTCTTAAATTATATTTTTAAAAAAATTTTACAAACTTCACTAAAAAATTTTCATGTAAATTTTGTTGCATTCGCAAAAATTACAAATGCTTTTGAACATTGGAATTCCCTGGAAATAGCCCCTAAGAAAAGGTAACTAGTTCTTAATTTGATAGCAAGTATAATTTTTTTAAATGAAATTTTTTTTATTAAAAAATATTTATAACCCTATTTTCAAAAAATAAATTATTAACATAACTTTATTAATTTGTATTATATATTTGTATTTAATTTTTATGTTTTTTTTCAACACTTTATTAATAATATTAAATAACCAAAACTTTTATAATCAGTATAGATTTTGTCACAATACTTGGAAAAAAATTAGCCTTGTTTCTCATTTATATTTTGATTAGTCTTTAGGGATGAAATTAATTTTTGGAAATGATCATGAGATATGTCATCAATTATTTATAGATTGTTCATCTAATTCATTTTTGTTCAAAAAATTCAAATTCTTCTTTTTAAATAATCAATAGAGAAATCATACACAAATTATTCATTTAAATGTTTGAATGTTGATTTTTCATTTAAATTTTATAAAAGTTTGACTTTATAAATTTATTATTTGTTCATCTAAACTCCTTTTAATTTCCAACAACATTGGCTCTTCTCAAATAGTGAAGACTTTTCACAATAAGTGGCAGAGCAAAATTTTTCATTTAATAGGGATTTAATTTAAATATATTAAAT